CCCAAATGTCAGCTCCTTATTATTAATATGTAGTCGTGTCCCTATCCATTCTACTGGAGGAATACCCATAATACCAGTACCCTTAAATGCAACCCAAATGTCAGCTCCTTATTATTCACCCTTTCATGAAAATAAAACTTCGCAAAATATAAATTGTAACCGAGCTAACTATGTATGACTAGCATATACCACCCCTGGAAAGTTTTGTTGAACCTGTAATGGATCTCGTATTGCAGTAGAAGTCAGTAAGTGTGAAGTAAAATTTAAAGTAAATGGTGCTTGGCTCTCTAACGGTTCCTGGATACCCGGTTATTCTCCCATTTCGGCTGAATATTTAGGTTATTATTCAGTATGGATGTTAAAACCAGTTTGTAACTTTTCAGTTACTGCACTAGCTGGTCGCTATTTTGTATGTGAAAATAAGGCCTATAAAAATCTTCCTTCCAGTTGGCTAGAAACATGCTATGTCTCTGCAGCATATCCTGCCTTTACTATTAGATCTCACTTACTTAAAAAAAGAATTCGCAATGTTCACAAAATCACAGAAAATCAAAGGTTTTGGGGTATAATGTTCCCCAACTATGGCACAGGCTTAGCTATGTCCAAAATAAAGAAAGTTGCAGCATCCCTAAAAAAAATAGCTAATGCTACTGCCATTGGTTTCCGTGAAATAAGTAAAAAAATGAAAAAAATGAAACAAATAACTCTACAAAACACACTCACCTTAGATTATATATTAGCTAGCAAAGGAGGTGTGTGCGCTTTAATAAAATCAAAATGCTACGTTTATATACCAAATGCTTCTAGTGCTATTAAGAACCAGGCCAAAATTATTAAAAAAGAAGCTGCTAAACTACACCAAACCGATCAATGGAGTCTTTGGAACTGGTTTGGCAGACTTGGGGCCAAATTATTTTATATCGCAATCATGGTCCTTGGGTTTATTCTCTTTCTACAAGTACTCTTTTTGTTGCTACGCAATTGTAACCTTAGTGCATCCCACAAAAGACTCAACAAATATGTCTAACGTAATGCTGGGTCAATTAAGATTAGTCTCACAGTTGTTCTAAAGGAAGCACTGGAAAATACTCTACCTAAAAACAAGTTTCACTGTGCCTCAAAGGATGCATAAGTCAAACTGTTCTCCCATTAGCTCACTTGCAGTCTGTTGCCCAACACACGGTTACAAAAATTCATTGGTTGTATTATAAGTACAAAAGGGGGGAATGTGGAAAAAAAAACCCCCAGGCCTTAATTTCTGCTGACTTCTTTAAGTTAGTGCACTATTTGCTAATGATTGCTTTTTCCCCGCCTATTTTGCAATCTGCTCTTTCTCCCGCCCTTTTCCCTTGTTGAACTGAGTAGGCCTATGAGGTCAATAGGTCAAACCACAGTCTATGCCCTCTTGCAACTTTCTAGTTCAAACCAGTTTTTCTTTGACTTGTTATATCTTGCATCATGTGACCTGAATTAAAACATATAAAAAGCTTACCTCAATCGTCTGTTGGGGGGGGCATTCAGAACTAATAAGAGAAAGCTCTGTCTGTTCGGTGCTCTCCCCTGCAGCTGCTTGTATAATAAAGGTCTCTAACAACTCTGTGACCAAACAATAAAGTAAAGCTTGTTTCTTCCACAAGTGCATACAGACATTACACTTAGAAGTTCAGAAGGTTAGATCGGGTCAAAAGTGGCTGCCCCATCTAAACCAGTAATTAAATAGGTGCCAGGAGCCCCATCT